CCTCCTCCAGTCTTCCCTCTTTTGCTCCATTGCTTCTGCAACATACTTCTTCATGGTTTATTTTAATTAAAATTTTAATTTTTAATTTAAAAAAATACAGTGTTTTCCTCTTCCCAAATAGAAGAATTTTGAGATCTCTCATTAGGGATTTCTTCATTTTCACAGTGCCAAGAGGTCCCTTCTTATCCCCAGTAGTGACAGAGTTTCAAGGAAGTGCAAGACATGATTGCTAATTACTTTCCCTTCCAAAACTGCTCCTGGATGTAAACAGAGGAAATATGCAGGACTTATTTGTATAAATATCTGAATATAGTTGGATACTTCCTTTAGGACAGCTCAGATTTTCCTTCTGTATATTGTTTCACCTGCTGCTAGCTTCTTGTAAAGATATTGCAGCTTATCTGGCAGAGGTAACTCAGCATCAGGGGTTGAGGGGATTTCAAAGTCAGATGAGTTTTGAGAGTCTCTGTTCAGTTCAAGATCAGGGGTTTCTGATGTGTCATTATTTACTTCAAGTAGCATATTTTGTGTTACAGAAGTAACATCTTCTGTCTCTTTTTTGTGGTCTTTGCCTTTCAAATCACAGTCAATCTTATTTTGGCCAGGTTCACTTTGGTCCAAACGCTTCAAACTGTTGGGGTCAGCTTGATTACCCATGAAAAGTGATGTAGCTGTGGTTATTCTGTTCCCACCCCTGCTTAACCAGCTGAAATCAGCAACATTCCGCTCTTGGGAGGCAATGAGCACCGTGTCCATTTGACTGTCCCACCCCTGGCTCCCCTGCTCTGATATGTGAGTTGACTGAGAAGAATTCTGCGAGGAGATGTGGGTAGAATCACTCTGCCCTTCTGAATCACTGAACAAGTTTGGTGACTGGGACCCACCAGCATCTGCAGAAGACGGAAGCTGGTCCTCGGTTTCAGAACCATCATCAGTTTTACTGTCCAGCTTAAAGAAAACATCCCACCGTGGTGTTTCTGCATCCTGCTCGTCACTAGGTAACTCACAAGTCAAGTCTAAATGAGCTTTTTGCTCAATATTTTCTGGTACAGCAGTAGAGTCTGGAACCTGGGGTGCAACCTGGGGACAAACTGTATTTTTATTAAATTGTTCATCCTCCTCCTCTTCATCCTCCTCACCGTTTGATTCCTCACATTCTATGAAGTCAACCTGTGAAGAGGTAGGCATAGTGGTTGCTTTGTAATTTCTTGCATTCTCACTCTGGATTCCTTCAGAGTTTTTAGACGAAGCTTGTGTCACAGGCAGCACTGTCTCTGCTTGATGTTTTGAAATCTTATACCTTATAGGAGCCAGTTCTGCATTGAAGAGCTCATCATCGTCATCTGAGGAGAACAAACACCATCGTATCAACCAGTCTGATACAAAAAAATTTTAGCATAGGAATGTATACACAAGTCAAATTCTATTACTTTCTCTCCATTTACTGACTGACACCTAGGAAGCTGTATAGCCAGTAAATCACCATGCTGAGGGGGAAGGATTATTCACATTAGGTCACTTTATGATTTGTCCACTGTGATGATTAGAAACTTTCCTTGTAGTGCATCTCATTTGCTTTAATGCAGAATACAAGGATGGCTGCACTGTGTTGTCTAGTAGATATTTATCTCCATTCTACAGGTTCGTATTAGTCAGATGTAATGAAGGAAGCTGGAGTCAATTATCAACCTTCATTATGGACTTGGGCACAATTAATTCCCTGTGTTGAGTTCTAGGATTTTAAGGGAAAAGAGCTCTTGACTTAAAAGGGACAGCCCAAGGATTATTAGCAGGTATTTTCACAATCAGACCCATAGTGGGTAAAGCAAACTACCACCATCTCAGAAAGCAGTACTTCAGAGTACTTTCATCCACTCACTAACAATTTACTTTGCTTGAGTGAGCCCAGAACACATTCACAGTTTCCAAATGATGGCAGACAGGTTAGATGTCAGCTGTTACAGGACCTTTTAATCACAGGTAGAAGTGAAATCTTACTTGGGTAAATCAGACAGTTGGGAGTGGCACAGAATATAAACTGTGAAATCAGATGACCTTAAATATGACTCTTTGTGTAAGTGGTGTAGATCAGATACAACTGAGGACAATGACCTGGTCTCAGTTATTCACATCTTTGCCTTTTCTTGTCTTGACTATAGCAATGCACTACACTAGGGCACAAAGCCTTCAGCACTCAGGAAGCAATAGCACAGGATACTGCCCTGCCTTCTCAGGAACAAAGGCTTCTTCAGGAACATCAAACTTGTCCTCCACTCCCTATACTTGCTTTATATAGGGCATAAAATCAAGTTTCAGGTCTTGCCTCTTTTTTCCCCATGTTCTATACCCTTGGTCCCAGGATACAGAAAGACCACCCCCTTCTAAAACTCCAGGCTGGATACTGGCCAACCATGATGCCCCATGAGGGCAAGGCTCATCTGTGCAAAAAACAGCTGTTTAAGTGGCTGGGCTGATATTGGAGAACAAGATCTGCCAGAAACTAAGGGCCACCACAAACCTCCCCAGGCAGTCACTCCAAAGGCAAGGTGCATTTCTTTTCCTTCCGACAAACCCATCAACATGCATGGTTAAAACAACCCCCCCCAAACAAGATGCTCCACTGCAAGTCTCCCCTGGCTCAAAGAGCAAACAAGTAGCAGATGTTAGTCGTGCTGATCAATGTATTACTGGAAACTTTAGACACTATGAGGTTAAGTATGGTACAAGAACTTATACTGAACAGCACCAGCAGTTGCACTGGTATTGACTTAATCATACAGCTTTGTAACTGGGAACATAGCACCTCACTGCAGTTTAATTATTAACATTGGAAACATTTAGGTAGCAAAATACCCATGGTTCCAGAACTTCATCACAGGCTCCATTATCTGTAAGCAAGAAGACAACCGCATCAGACTGAATGGTAGTTACAGGTGCTGCCTTTCAAAGATTCAGTCCTCCACTGAGCTGCATTACCTGAAAGCACAACTTTTATTGATAAAGCACTTCTATGCAGTAGCTGGAAGCTGAAAAGTCAACAAAACAGCAGCTGGCATTTGTTGATCAGTGCTGGCTGATTGTGCCCAATCAGATAAGGGAGTGTCTAGAAACTGGGGATTTGTACACGTGCTTGCGCTTTTAAAAGCACCTGGTGCTGTGGCACATGCATTTGTATAAATGGCGAAATACGTGTCAGTGCTGAGAAAATGGCACCAGCGTGCTTTTGAAATAACACACTTTGAGGGTGTTTTAGTTCAGAAGTGTACCACCCTCATTTTCTACACGATGACACGCATTTAAGCACTTATACAACTGCATGCGATGCAGTGCAGTGCAGTGTGCATCAGCTTGCATGCGGAGCTGCTCAGATGCAGCGGATCTCCAGCAGGTTGCAGCACAGAAATGTATGTGTATAAATGCCCATTGGTTCCAAATAAGACACAAGTGGCAAGACTGAACATAAGCTTGAATTTTACAATGAATTTCTTTTGCCACAACCATCTATCCTGATGGGTCCTCCTCCTTTACCTGTGTCTGTTGAGTCTGTTGTTCTGGTTCTCTTCAGCATTCCCAGTGGTTTATATTTGGGTTCAGTATTTCTCCTGTATGACCTGCATAATGGCTTTAAGCTGGGGGTGGGGGGAAGGAAAAAAAAAAAAGGATTTTTAGAACTCCTTCAGGGCTCCTACAATATTATGTAGGCATAATAGGGAGCAACAATAAACTAGTTCACTCTTTCAACATCACCAATTTATTTTAAAACACACAACTTGCAGAAATCACATATTAAAGCCTGACCTAAGTTTGCACCTTTTTTCATGCCCACAGTTTAATGGCCTCACGGCAGCACTCTCAAAACTGCCAAGTTAAAACACAGCAAAGAGTACATCATCCATGATCATACTGTTCTCTGTGCAACTAAGGAAGAAAATGGAGATTCAACCTTAAAAAAAAAAAAAAA